GTCCACAGAAACAGACACGTGCTGTGGAAACGTCTTCCATCGGGACATGTCCGGGGTTGAACGTGCACTTACGCTTCCTCACACTGACACAGAGGGCTGCGTTGGGTTTTTGAACGGGGAACCGTCACATACTGACATCGTTTATGCTCCGCCCACATTTATAAACAGTAAGAAGGTCGGCACTGAAGTGTTTGTGACCCAACGAGTGCAAAAAGCGATGAGTGGTCACAGACAGCGGCTCCTGCGTCGTCCTCTTCCTCGCTCTGCGGTGCATGCTCCTGACATCTGTGGGTCTCTCTGGAGGTGAACTCGGGCTGAGCTCGGGACATCCTAGTCTTCCTCACCTCCCTGCTCTCCTTCATCAGGGTCAGGTGTTTTTAAAGGTCACTGAAGCTGAACACTTTAATGCAGCCTGTGAGGGCGTAGTTCCCCTGTAACTAAAGGTTTCAGTGTAATCTGTTATATTTACATACAGATACTTTCAGTGTATTTAGTCGAGTATTCCCACATCTGCGTGCGCTGTGACGTGTGTTATGGATTATTATGGAGTGGATTATATTTATATCCACACTTGCTTTGATGTGCACGATGCTAAAGGTTAAAGGTTGATCCACTCCAGATTTCGGGCAGCTACTGTGAGTACTGCAGTACTTTAATGTACTTTCAGTATAATTACTTCTGTTTGCTGTACAGCCTCATGACCTTTGCGTACGTGTAGGTAATTACAGTGTAATTACCGGCGTTAGGCCTGAGTCATTACTGAGAACGTTGCGCCGCCGCGGCGCCGAGCTTCAGGTTACCCTGAGTGTGAGCCGAGCTCAGCTCTGACGAGCTCTCTGATTGGTTCTGGGTTCTCTGCATGATCTCTGCTGTTCATCCATAACAAGTTCTCACGTCGGTGTTTCCTTTCGTTTACTCACCTTTCCTTCTCCTCCCGTCTCCTCAGCTCCTCCTCCAAAACGCTTCAAATTTCTCCGCAGTAAAAGTCAAGACAAGATCCTCCCCTCTTCCTCCTCCTCCCTGTCGCCGACCTCATCCTCCCCCATCACCCGCCGCCCCTCCCTCTCTCTCACCAGACGACTGCGATTTTGGTCCTCCGCCGACCTCACAGCCGACCTCATCGCTAGCCAGCCAATCCTAGCCAACGGAGATTTCTAACATCCTCATCATCATCCTCATCCTTTGTGCCCACTGACACCATCCTCATCATCACAGTCATCAGTGTGACACACACAC